TTATGCATCATCATTTCCAGAGTAGGACCGTGGCGAAACGTCTGGAAATGTACCACGTCCACGGTCCTACTCTGGAAATGATGATGCGTTCCTTTAAGTCTTCCTACCAATATGACCGAGTTGCGAAAACAAGTTCAAACAACTTCGAAAGAGTATTTTGTTATTCTCAATGTAGCAAGTTGATCTTCTGGGTGATGGCATAAATTGGGCATTTTTGACTGCACTACTGACATACTACTTGCGAGACCAGATCTGGGTCTAATGTCCGTAACGGAGGGATGATCTAATTTGATGCAATCTTCCCGTACTGTACCATTTTGTAATCGTCTACAGATGCCAGCGACAGACCGGAACCGAACTCGGTTGCTGGATTCGTCGGCTTGCGTGAGGAGGGATCTAGCTCAGAGGCCTGACTCGACCGACTCGAAGGCATCAAACCAGTCTCCGTGGCTGCAGACGGACGACGAGACTGTCAAGAGCCGGACGAGAGTGGGGCGGGAGGATGGATGCCCGCCCTGCAACACGACGGTCACGAGGGCGGTTGTCGTCGGCGACAGCAACCGCCATGTCGACCTCGACGCCGCGAATTCTCCCGTTCAGACGAGCCGGACTCGTCGGTTGCCGTTGACCGGACGCTGTCGACTCTGTGATCTGGCCTCGACGAGTCCTGTCGCCGTGGAGTCGGCTCGAACCGCGCCACTCTCCTCGTCCCCGCTGACGCCCACTCACTGCTCGTGGCGGACAGCCGCTGCGACGCCCCGCTTTCGCAGAAGCCGAGATCGACTCTGCTTCAATCCGAATCCTCCAGTCGAGGCCCGCCTTTTGCACGGGCTGCCGAAGAATGGCTGTTCGGTTTGGCGAACTCTCGACCCAACGACCCTTCGGTCAGGAAACATCAAACCGCCCCCGGAGAAGCAGACGACACCATCCGTCCGGTCGTCGGGCCGGGCTCGCTGCTGGCGGACAGTCTTGAGCTGGTGGGCCGGGCCTCGAACCAACCTTGAATGGAGGTTTTGGTGAGCACTCGCCGACTCCTTTTCGACCCACTCCGTTGTCCAGTTGCGAGAGTAGCAACAATAAGTCTGTCTTGAAGACGCTACTTCCTCAGCGGACCTATCGTACAACGGCGAATCGGCTCGAGGCTGTACACACATGCACACATGCACATGCGCACGTACAGACCCGTCTTGCCCCTTGACCTATCCATGCCACTTCTCGGAATGGGGTTAACCGCTCGCCACCTCCCCGTTACCGACGGTGCTAGGCGGAGACTGGAGTCGCGAGATCGTTCAGACGGTTTAGCGGTACCCTTCAAATGATCACATCACACTCTCTCTCTTCTCTCACTCTCACTCTCGCCTTCA